GTTGGAAGTGGGAGCCGCGGCCCGCCCCGCCCCCGCCCGAGGGCCGGCCGCGCAGGCGCAGGCTCCGCCCTCGGGGGCGGGGGCCTGGTGACGTTAACAGGAGAGGGCGGGGCTCCCGGAGAGGCTCAGGCCTGAAATTGTTACCACGTCTAGTGAGGTGTGTGGCGTGTGCAGACTGAAAGCTACCGCCTGCTGCAAACTCAGAGTGGTTCTTACGTGTTTATCTAGTTGGGAAAAAAACCAAAGAAGAATATTTCGTGATATGTGAAGAATATTTCGTGATATGTGAACATTCTGTGAAATTCACATTGCAGTGTCTCTCAATAAAGTTTTGTTAGCACAGAGGAGTTCACTCGTGCATTTAGCATCTCTGGGTGTTTTTGCACTGCAACAGCGGAGTGAGTAGCTGCGAAAAGTGAAAACTCCTAAGACCCGTGGAGCCTGATATATTTGCTATCTGGCCCTTTATGGAGAAAGTTTTGGACTCCTACTTTAAAGGGTTGATGTGACTGTGGGGTTTGGGCACTGACACAGATTCTTGGCGTGGCCAAACTTTTTATTTTTTTAAGTTATTTCATACTAGTTTTTGTAGGGGTTCCATTTTTATTCCTCCATGGATTTTAGGTATTTCCCATATGCTTCCTCACTCATTAGTTCATCGAGTTCTGAAGGGTAACTCAATGCCATCTTGATCAGCCAACCATCTACATAACAGGATTTGTTGACAAGTCCTGGATTTTCTGTAAGAGCTTCATTAATTTCAGTTACTTCTCGTAATAGAGGAAAATAGAGTTCACTAGCAGTTTTCACACTTTCCACTTTCCAAAATTTTGAATTTTGTCCCAACTTCAGGCAGACTACAGTAATCAACATTTCCCGAAGCTTCCCATGCAAAATTGCTGATTCTCACTGTTCCAGTACTGTTTTCTGTTGTTATTCATTCATGGTTGTGAATTTATGCACTGTTTCCAGGAAGTAGCTGAGTCTTCAATACGTTATTCTTGTTTTAGCTACCAAAAATCCAGATCCAGTGCTTTAATTTTAACAAGTAATTTTACTTCGGAGTTCTCAATGATGGTCCATTTAGTAAACTAAAACTTCCACATTTAGGGTCTCATAATGCACACAAATACAAAATAAACTGAGGTCACTAAGAAGATTAGTGATGCTTGCCTGGCTTCTCCAAGCATGAGCAGCCAACGTACCTTAGGGGACCAGCCCAGACACCACCGCCTCGGAGACCTGCAGGCCTCCCCCTCCTGCACAATACAAAGATCGCGTGTGTCTTCTCCCACCTACTTAAGAGGAAGAAGCAGTCACAAAACTAGGGCAGGGTTCGCCCTCTCTCTGCACTGCCAGGTGGCTCATTGCCCAAGTCCAACTCAGCCTGGGAAGAGAGAGTCAAGGCGAGGAGGGAGGTGCCCAGCTCGCCCCATGTGTCCACTGCGCTTATCCGAGAGCAGAGTGGGTGGCATGTGCAGTGTTCAGATGGCACCCAGCGTCAGCCTCCAGGGTCATCGTGGGCCGGGCCCGGTGGGCACAGGAGTCGTGTGCAGGCTGCAGACCTTGGCCCTCACACTCCAAGCTGCTTGCAGTGCCACTGACTTCTGAATCTTCTGCTAGACCAAGCTGTGCACTTCCTTGTAAAATCCAATTTTAGTAAAGACCCTGCTAAAATTTAATAAGAACCCTCCATCAGGCTCCTCCTCCTCCACCATCCCCCAGGCATGTCTGATCACCCTGGCCTATCTTCAGCAAGAATCCTGTTAGGTCAGTTTAACCAGAATCCCCCTTACCCCTGATGTTTCCTTTTAGTAATTGTCCATCTACTGACCCCCACCCTACTCCTTGACTATAAATTCCCACTTGCCCATGCTGTGTTTGGAGTTGAGCTCATTCTCTCTCTCCAAATGCAAGACCTCATTGCAGTGGTTCCTATACCCATCGCTATGGTCCTGAATAGAGTCTTCCTTACCTTTCTTTAACAAGTATCACTGAATAATTTTACTTTAACAGCATACAGCACCCTAATGCAGGGCTCTGTGTGGTGAATTTTTGCTAAATGGTCCTTGACTTAGTTCTGCTCCTCTTTTCTTTACTTCCCTAGTCTTGACCCAATCCCTTCCCAACTGGACCAGTTCAGGGGCCTCCTACCTAGTTTTCCCAGCCATGATGCTATCAAGAACTCAGATCAGGGCTGGCCAGTTAGCTCAGTTGGTTACAGCATGGTGCTAATAACACCAAGGTCAAGGGTTCGGATCCCCATACCAGCCAGCCACCAAAACCAAAAGCACTCAGATCATTCTACCTCTGTTTCTAAACCTCCAAGGTCTTCCTATTTCTTATGAGATGGAATGTAAGCACATACATTGCAGGCCTTCAGACCTGGCCCTTATGAACATTTTCTCACAGAATTTTCCACCTGAGCAAACTGCGCTTTATCCATGCAGAATTCCTGCCATCACGTGACCAGCCTGGCTGCTTCTTGGCCCCATGCATGGGCACACACCATTTCCTTTGCCGGAAGTACTGTTCCATCTCTTTGTCATCCAGAAAACACCTACGCACCCTTCAAAACCCAACCAAAATATTCCCTTCCCTGAGGAAGCTTCTCCTGACCCCTCCTGTGTCCTCTTGCTGTCCCTTATAGGTCATCTTTGTTTTGTGGTTCATCTCTAACACAAACCCCTGACGCAGAGCCACATCAGTGAACATTTGGCAAATGAATAAACATTCAATTAACAACCAAATGGCACCTCTTTTTCTACACGAAGAGGTGCAGGAAAGCTGATAATAAAATGGCCCTGAGCGCATGGTTTAGCAGGCACTGTGCTGGGTGTCAGGAATAGAATAGTGAAAACAAACATGGACTTTGCCCTCACAGCTTTCAGTCTTTCAGGATAGACAAATAGAAATCAAATAATCCCACACGCAAATATAAAGTTTCGACCGCAACACATATTTCAAAGAGAAAGTGTAACAATTACTAAGTTCTTGTTACTATGGCTATGTAACAAAGCAGCCCAAGATTTAGAAGCTTAAAATGACAGCAATGTTTATTTCACTCTCAATCTGCAATTTGGGCAGGAATAGCTCATCCCTGGTCCTGCTGGTAGTCAGCTGGGGTGGCTCAAAGGCTGGCGCTGGAATCATCTAAACGTTTGCACACACATATCTGTCAGTTGCTACTGGTTGTAGTTTGAGACCCTCACTGGGGCTGTTGCCTGGAACACCTGCACGTGGCCTCCTCATGCAGCCTGAGCTTCCTCACAAGATGGCAGCTGGGTCCCAAGAACGTTTGTGAGAGTGAGTGTGCGTACACGCCAGGTGAAAACTATATCGCCTTCTCTGACCCAGCCTCAGAAGTCACACAAAGTTATTTCCATTGCGTGGATGGAAAGAATACACAGAAGCTTTCCATAGTGGCTGTTACAAAGTCCCTCCCAAATTCAAGAGGAGGACAAATGGATTCTAGAACCTGAGGAGTGGCCAGGTTCTGGAATACGATGTGGAACAGGAAATACACTATGATTATTTTTAGAAAATACCACCTGCCTCTGGGGGGACTTAGTCTAGCAGGGGATGAGGGAGGCTTCCCAGAGGAGGTGGCATTCCAGGTGAGATCTAAGAATGCACAGATCTTTTATGGGACAGTATTTTGGCAGGGTTAAAATGACAAGATCAGAATACCTATTTTTTTTTTTTTGTCTTTTTTCCGTGTCCGGCAACGGATCGCAACCCTCAGTGTTGCCCCCGTACCGGACCGGGGACCGGCAACGGGATTGCAAGCCTCGGTGTTGCTCCCGCGCCTCGCTCAGCCAGTGAGCGGGAGCCGGTCTGTATGTGGGATCCGAACCCTCGGACGGGAGCGCCGCCGCGCTTCCCAAGCGGCGCACTATCCAGTGCGCCACCGGGCCGGCCCAGAATACCTATTTTGAACTAATCTAATCTTCCCAGGTGGCAGACTTAGTGACCAAAATCTCCGAAGTCCAGAATCACGTGTTATAGTAGGCAAAATTCTAAGATGGCTCCCAAAATTCTCATTCTGCAGTATGCATGTCCCATCTAAATCCCCACCCTGGGGTGTGCACAGGATCTACGAATATGACAGATGTCACTGCTGTGATTAGGTTACCCTACTTGACAAAGGTGAAGGGATTTTGCAGATATATTTAAGGTTCCAAAATAAGTTGGTTTTGAGTTCATCAGAAAGGAGATTACCCTGGTGGACTTGACCTAATCAGGGATGTCTCTTAAAAGACAGCGTGGAGGTCAGAGACTGGAAGCTGCAGAGAAATGCGATCCTGCTGGCCTTGAATAAGGAACCAGCTGTTTTACGAACTACCAGTAGAGAGGGGCACCTCTCTAGGAGTTGAGGTCTGTTGGAGTGAGTAGGTCTGAAGCCATGTTGGGACCTAAAGCTGCCTGGGCTGCGGAGGGAGGGAGGATTTTTAAAAGGGCAGTTT